GGCTAATGATAAATATCATAAAGCCTGCCAATGGAAATATATATATATATATTTACTTATGTCAAATGGCAGGCTTATTAATTGTTATTACTTACCGCCTAGTTTGCTTCGGGATTAACAGAGGAGGGGGGGGGGAACAGATGAGTGATTTGCAAATGTAAGAGACAGACACAAAGATAGAGAATAAGGAATGGTGGGTACTCTGGAAGTGGTCAGCAACCTTTTTGCGGAATAAGTACACGTTTTCCACCACGTTGAGGCAAGTCTATCGCACACCCCATAGTAATACCATACTATTAGTAAAAATTAAATCGTTATTTTGGTTTATAGTAAATGATCCTTCAATATCTTCTCATTTCACTTTCATTCTCTCTCCATAACACCGAGAGTTAAAACCCGCCTTTCATCTGTGCCTGATGCTCGATCATGCAAACGATAAATTTACTACAAAGTCCATCATCCATTTCTGTCTTCCTCCTCTCACAATATCACAAAGTTGCCTTAAATAACTCCTCACAACTATGCTCAATTCGGGAGAGGGATTTCTATAGTATTTCGTTAATATATAATAATCTCTGTAATTTAGGAGTTGTACTGATTTACAAATAGAAGAAAAGGTTTTTTATTCATTTTTTACTTAATTTAACTTACTTAATTTAATATGTTATTTTTTATTAACAGCACATTCAACCATTACTATGAAGCATTTGCTCGAATTATTATCTGTTTTACTTGAGCAAATGGACTCAAAGTATTCGCTTTATCGGCATCCGAAGTCAGCTAAATGGGTAATGATAATTATCAAAACGCCTGCCACTTGATATAAATAAATAAACTTTCTCAATGCTCTTATTCCTCCTGAATGGGATGTAGAGGAGTAATTGGACCCTCCACTGTTGTGCCTGAAGGATGATTCTGGATTTTCAATAATTGCCCCTCGCCATACACTTCATGATAATACGTTGATTTTTTTGCATTCATCCTCCCATGACTTAAACTCCTATCCGTCACATCTAGGCAAATTTTTTCCTTCCTCTTTTTTTTCTATAACTTTCCAGTTTCGTTTCAAGGTATATCTGCATCTATACCTAATTAACTCGTGTAAACGTCCTTTGTCTCACCACCCGCAAGCACACGCCTCTCCGACCTCCTTATCTTTCCCTCTTACTCTCTTAGCTCCCCCTCGTGGCATACTCGATGAACTTTGCCCAACAAGTCGTTATGTCCTTTTGTGATGACAATAGTTACTTATATTAGGGCAAGAAATTTTATCTCCCCCCCCCTCCCCACCTCACCCTCCAAAGTACAGATTGAACTTGTGTAAAAACGAAAGCTTTTGCCATTGGTTTTCGTCATTGATTGACGAGTTAAATCGTACGATGTAGGTGCTAGTCGGGTCTAGAGTCTCCGTCCCCTATCCGAATGCCAGTTAATCCATTGGGGTAATGAAAATACCTCGCACATGAAAGTTCCATGTTTAAACAGAACGTAAAATATAAAAAAGGACAGTCTAAAATTCAATTATAAATTTATTAATCAAGTTGTTTCAAGTATTAAGTCGTTAGCTGATTGCCAAACGAAACCATAGAATGAAGTGAAACGGAAATCGACTTTAGCGGGGACACATTTTAGACCATCCACCATCGACAAAGATGGTTTCACCATTGATGAAGGATCCAGTGGATGGAGCAGCAAGGAAGGCGACAGCTTTAGCAATGTCATCAACATGTCCTGTAGTGCCTACCAAGTTATTTGAGCGAGCTCGATTCAGGAAGGCTTGATACTCCTGTTCTGTGTAACCGGCTGTACGATGAAGCTCGGTCACAACAACACCGGGGCTACAGAAACAAAGTTAATAAGAAGTCAATCTTTTTTTAAATTTAAAAGGGGGATCGGGAAGACTTGACAACTCTCGTTGATAATTTATTTATATAAATTGGCAGGCGTCTTGATGGTTATTATTAGCCCTTTAGTTGACTTCAGGAGGGAAGAGAGGAAGGAACATCAAATTAAAAAAGTCGAGAGGGGGGGGGGGAACAGAAGAGTGTTTCAAAGATGTAAAAGACAAACACAAAGGTAGAACAAAGGTGAGGTGAGTACTGTGTAAATAGTCGAATATGGCATAGTTTGAAGTGAGAAGTCAACTGCCGATCAATCGACTTTTCTGGCGTATGAATATACGTGGAACACCACGTGGAGGTAAGTCTATCGCACACCCCCTCTCGTTGATAATAAAATAGACTGTAAGAGTAAATTCCAACCCCCCCCCCCCACTCTGTATAAACAATGCTTTATAAAAGCCCAGGGTATTTATGATACCACTACAACATCTAGTGAAAAGAGGCTAAAGCTTCTTGTCTGAATTTAGCTAACAATGGTCATGAAAAGGCTATTCACGTGACAAATCTTGAACGGTATCAAACAGGAAAGTGTAATTGATGAAAGAATATGAGAAACAAAGTAGACATCAGTAATCATACCGGGTGTGAATTTAAGGGAATTTAGAAGGAATTTAAAAGTTCTATAGAACGTCATAACCAAACATAATCGTTTTTTCGAATAAATAGAAGAAAAATTGGTTAAAGAGGACAAGTTATTAAGTAGTATAAATGGTGTCAAATTTTAAATTAAGAGTTGTTGCTAACTTCCGTAAATAATGCGGACTGGCCTTCGATAGAGCTTCACATGTTTATGCCAAGTATGAGGTACTGCAGATGTGAAGTTAAATTTGGCCGGAATGCCTAGCTCATGACAAACTACGACATATTGCAGATCGATATTGAACACAGCCGTGTAAAGCACGATATTTTAGCTAGATTAACTCGATCGATAAAAGATACAACTTACGCAACACAATTAACGCGAATGCCTTTGGAACCAAGCTCTGAAATGGGATGTAACCGATTTTATGAAATTGTTTGATTACACAAAAAAATTTTAAACTATTTAGTTGATTTACCAACAGCAGCATTTCGTGTAAATTGTTCAACTGCAGCCTTGCTAATAGCGTAGGACAGAATTCCAGGGAACTAAAAATAAGCAAATGATTTCGAAGCTACTTACAATTGGTATATCACTTTTAACAAAGACACCAAACTTACGGAATTATTACCAGAAACACTTGAGATGTTGACGATGCACCCCTTAGATTCTGCCAACTTCGGAACTGCCAGATTTGAGAGCAGAATGACAGAACGGACATTTACACTCATAATTTGATCATGAGCGACAGGGTCAAAGTTCTCTACGCTATCTTTGATTTGGTAACCTGCGTTGTTAACCAGGATATCCAACTTGCCAAAATGGCTGATGGTTTGGCTGAATGCGGTTTTGACTTGTTCCACATCTGCGAGGTCTGCTTTCACTACAACGAAACCTGCACCAGAATCTCCGGCAGCTTCTTGACACATTTTACGGGTTTCTTCTAGGTGAACATTATTTCGGCCAACAAGAGCTACTCCCGCACCAAGTTTGGCAAAGAGTACAGCTGTTGCACGACCAATTCCCGAGCTTGCACCTAAGCATTTCAAGTAATTAAGTAAGCGCGAGTTTTTCGTGGTAAATCATTTTCAAATTTTGACAAAAATTAATCTTCATCTTTACCTATAGAACTAGAACAAATCTATCGAGACTCTGTCTAACGAACATGACTATACATAAACTAATTTAAAATGTTTAATATTTACTCTTTAATATTTTACCTGTTACAATGGCATTTTTTCCAGCAAGACTTAGTATATCCATGGCTTGTTAAGCAGACGCCACAAGGTTCAACCTTGAAAGACCATTCGTTAGAATAGAAATTTGCGAGGTAAAAAGTTTCGACGCAATCTTTAGGGAATACTATTTCCCTTTTTAACCCTAGGTAAATGAGGTATGTTTCAATTTGC